AAGTATTTTATATTAGATTATTCACAAGGATCTCAGAGATAATTCCTGTTGTCAAGGGAGTATAATTCGAGCCTAAATGCGTGAAAATCAACCTGTATATGTTTCCCCTAGCGCTGCGTTTATTTGCGAGATTTCTGCCGAATTGAGATTTGCTTCTGGTTGTTGAAGAAAACGGTGTAAAAATTAAGCTGATATTGAGCGGTATCAAGAAATTCTCTTTCTCTCTTAACATATAAACTAACCCTTTACAGTCAGATAAATTTCAAGTAAAATATTCGATTGACCCATTAGTCATACCATTACACTTCTATCCAGAGTCACGAGGGCTATCACAGATCAGTAAAAAGATGCAGGAGTTAAACCATGAAGTGTTAAAATGATCTCACCTTTATTATTCTCACACACTTCACGATACAAAGGGCCAAACAATGGAAAACGGGTTATTCACCACCATATCCTTAACGACACAGAAATGAATACTTTCATTATTGAAACTGTTACACTTTTCCTTATTCTCGTAGTGTAATGAAATAAAAGTTGTCAATTTGGCTATTCCTCTTGTTACTTCTTCATCGTATAGAAAGAGCTGGAAGAGTTGCAACAGCGTGAACGTGCTGAACGTGAAGCCTGGGAACAGCATACTAAATCGGTGCTTGAGACACAGTGCGCTTCACGTGAGAATGGTTTGCGAGATCAACTGAAACGCGAAAGAGATAAACAATTGGAGGCGGCTATTCGTCGACTGGAAGCGGAATCGAATGAGACCAGGGCGGAGGTAGAACGGGAGGCCGAGAACAAAATCAAGTGAGCACGTAACTGACACCATGGGATGAGATTGGGATCGAATGTATGTTTAGACTGTAGCAGGAATCTGCTATTCATCATTGTTTAAAAATCACGGCGACTTAATGGGAGTTTATTTTTAAAGTTTTCCTAGAGTGGTTTTTCATCTTTGAAACACCAAACTGACCTCTAAGTTTGATCAACTTCTAGATGCCTAATGAAAGTGCTTCTTGCAGTCGTTCCTTTAAATTAGAAAACGTCCAATACAGGTTTCTTTTGTTTTGCATCTTTTTACGTTTTATTTAGCTTGCTTTGCTGTCAAAAATAAATAAAAATGAATATTTTCTGNCGGCTATTCGTCGACTGGAAGCGGAATCGAATGAGACCAGAGCGGAGGTGGAACGGGAGGCCGAGAACAAAATCAAGTGAGCACGTAACTGACACCATGGGATAAGATTGGGATCGAATGTATGTTTAGACTGTAGCAGGAGTCTGCTGTTCATCATTGTTTAAAAATCACGGCGACTTAATGGGAGTTTATTTTTGAAGTTTTCCTAGAGTGGTTTTTCATCTCTGAAATACCAAACTGACCTCTAAGTTTAATTAACTTCTAGATGCCTAATGAAAGTGCTTCTTGCAGTCGTTCCTTTAAATTAGAAAACGTCCAATACAGGTTTCTTTTGTTTTGCATCTTTTTACGTTTTATTTAGGTTGTTTTGCTGTCAAAAATAAGTAAAAATGAATATTATCTGAAATTTATTATAAGATCAGAGGAGAATTTCGTACACAAGAAATACTATCAGACGCATTGATGTTACTTTATAGGATGCTCAGCTTTGACACAATTTATCAAATTCAACTGTCTAAATCGATCCGAAGACTCTCAACCAAAGCTCACCGCGGTTTATGTGATCCCTTTCATTGTTCATAAATTTTTAAAATAGCAGAAACATTCACTCACGATACATTTATTAACTCGTCGGAAGGTCTGTACTTAGATATGGCTAATAGATCTCGTATATTGTAACGTATGCAGGTCAATATTCTGCTTTACCACCCGACTCTGATGACACCTCTCATCTTTCACCTGTATGTAGATTCGGTTGTCCGTCCATTTTATTAAACTGTTGCAAAAGCCACGAGGACAGTAATTCTGTAATATTGAACCTCATTTTTCTGAGTTTCCTAGTCAGAACTAAGTTCTCTACGCGGTAGAACAAGACTAATAGAGAAGTCACAACCAAATGGTTGTTGCGAGCAGGCCAAAGATATATCACACGTATATTTCGAAGAGTGGAAACCAAAAATGTTTGCATCAAGATGCGCACAGCTGCCCCGAAGTCATCTGAGTGGATAAAGTATGATCTCAGAACCGTAGAATTCGGTTTTGCCTTTAGACAGGAGGAAACCAAAAAATTGGCTCAACAGGGATCTCTATTCAGAAATATTTACCGCGTATACCTCAGGATTGTACTCCCAACTAAGACGATTATCTAGGACAGCGTGGTAGCAACAACACCAACAGACAAGAGCAGTAAAATCCGATTGCGACAATGCCAGCGAAGTAGCCAAAAGACAGGCAATACAGGCAACCCATACGCTTGAAATGATACGGTTATGGTTGTCAAAACTGAAAATCCCACTCTGGGTATGAGATAACACCTCGGGAATTTCTTCTCTAGAAACGTGGATTAAGTTTTACCGTGCGGTTGCATTGCCATTCATGGGACGAATTTGCATTNAGTTTCCAGGGAAGCTTTGGGAAGATATACGAAACAATACTACTCAGTGATTATTTTGGCCCTATCGAAAGGATGGCCGCCTGATATAAAGAAGAGACATCCTCAGTTCTACATGGATGCATCGGGAGGAGTTGGCTGTACAGCCAGACAGTATGCTCTGCCGCGGTGATCGACTGATTATACCTCCGCCTCTCCGAAAAGCAAGTCAAATTGATGAGGCACTGTTAGGGGAGGAGAGTTGTGGTGATCGTGTAACGAGTACGCAAGCACCGCGGTACAGCTTCCAGGTAACCAATCAAGAAGCGGGATAACTGACCAACCCTGTGGTCTCAATTGGCCTCATCCGGATTGGCTGAGTGCAAGAAGGTAAACAGATAAACCATATCCTTGTCGAATGGACATTCAAGATTCGACCAATGATTGTTTGTTGCCTGTAATATATATTTCCAAGATTTTCTTAACAGAATTCACTGTATCTGCAGCTCGCCTTGGTTCTACCTGGCTTTGCGCTAATCCGTGGGTTTTCAGTCCGATTCCGAGTTCGCGCTATTCGATTTCGTTTCCTATTCTGAATACTAAAGAGGCACAAAGTGGTTGTGGCAAAAATAAATAGCCAGAATATGTAGTTGTGCGTTGAACTGAAAAAAATGCTCCACCAAGAAAATCTTTGTGCAACCGTTCTAACGAAAAAG